GCGGCCGTGGTAAATCTGTAGCTGAGTGGCAGATCAGATGTACGCGGGTGCCGTTAAATATAGTCTGCTGGCCGGGTGCTGGGGGCTGAAGACAAAATACCCTGCAAGAAGGGAAGGCTGGGCTATGTTTTGTGGAGATTCTTGGGCCTTAGTTATGTATTTACACATGCATGAGCATACACACACACACACACGCTTGCATACATACATACCTAAATATATATTTATTCTTTATATTTAAATATAAATATATTTATGCTGAATCCTGGCTTAGAAAGCACAGAGTGAAATTTGGTTTAGGCTTTTTGATCTGTGTTGCAATTGTCACATGAAAATAGCTGTCCGCTGTGCCCCCCAAATTAATGATCTTTTTCTCCTTTGAGATCAGGCTTGACTTTAATTGGTTGAGCTTAATCTTGTCTGCCAAGGGACACGTGACAGGTACCTGCAATTTGGCTGGGGGTTTTTTGACAAATGTTGTACAAGTAACCTACCCTTTTGGTTTGGTCAAGGCCAACTTGCTCCATAACCCCCTGTAAAAAAGCAGAATGATTTACCAAGGAAAAGAACGTATTCACAGCCTGGAAAGCTTTCTGCTCCAGGAACTACGTTTATAATAAGAAAACGGAGCAACTGAAAGTAAAAGCAGTACAACGTGCAAAGCACAGGGGAGTTCTCCCAAGCAGCCGCTCCGTTACGCTCCCCCAGGGAAAGGCAAGGGACATCTGAACGCCTGTGCGCTCATCCCGAGCTCTCTGCAGCTGGCCTCGGATTAACCCTGGGGCTGCATGGCTGCTGGCTCACTCGGAGGCACCTCTTAGCATTTACACTTTAGCCAAATACACAAGGAGCGAATTAACGGAGTAAATAAAATGCCTTACTGCCTTCAGCTGCAGACATGAAAAGCCCCTTTGCAATCAGCAGGCACAAAATAACTGAGTCCTGTCTTGTGCATAGACAGAGCTCAAATAGCATGACCCCTAGTTCCTTTTAATAGCCTGTTTTAACGTTAGGATGTTTCCCTTTATCCTTTCTGTTGATCTGCCTGCGGCCAATCTGTGTAGAGGCAACCTCAGTTCCCTTCTGGGCTTTAGCGCACTGGGATGCTTCTGCTTCTAGCGGAAAAGAACATGTACAAATTGAATTACATGAATGAAGACCATAGGTGTAACAGCAACCAGATCCCACCAAGTGAAACGAGAAGCTGTGTCCAGATTGCTAAGCAGGATGCTCTCTTCACCTGAAAGGATGAGCTCCCAGCTGAAGACCTTCCTCCCAAGCAACAGCAGCGCCAGGCTACGAGCGAGCCCGGGGCTCGGGCTTTCAGCTGTCAGCTGCGCTAAGGCCACAGGGCTTCAAGCAGCCTAGGAGCTGTTTGGATCGAGTCCGCAAGCCGCAAATTGAATCATGTTTCTTGGAGGTTCAGATTCAGGTGGAGGAGCGCTGTTTCATGGATGACACAGCCTTCCCCTGTCATGCTCAGAGATTGCTGGCACCATACTCTATAGAAAATAACAGCCTCCCCCCCGGTTTTTGACCATGGACTCACTCTGGTTTTTGTCTGCAGCGTCTCTTCCATCCTTACGGTTCCTTGTGCTTATTTCTTAAATACCACTGAGATTTCCTAGAGATCAGCTGTAGCTGTCAAAGCACTTCACGAATGACATTGGTGTCAGCTTTAGCCCACGAAGGAGATGTGGAGCAGACACGTCTCAGGTTTGCTCAGCAGGCAGGACAAGGAACACGACCCGAGTATCCAAATCCCTGGCTCATGCTTCAGTCTGCTGGCCGCATTCATCAGCCCTGCAGCATGCTCAGTCTCTGCCACCAGCTACTTTGTGGTCCAGATTCCCAGCTGCTACGAACTGCTTTTATTCTACTGACCTCAATGGAACTGGCCCCATTTACAGTCCTGGAGGATTGGGCCTTTTGCCACCACAGAAACAGAGTGGGAGCATCTTTTCCAGGGCGGCTTCAAAACGTGGCGCTCTACCGCTGCAGCGTGGCACAGTAAGGCACTCAGAAGCACTCACAGCCAACTAAAACTGCACATTGTCTCTATTCCTGTGTGATGTTTCTATATTTGGTGTTTCTCTGATGAATGCTATGGCAAGCCTCCCAGAGGCTGCGTGTCCCCCTGCCTCAGATGCATGCTTTAAGAGTCAGCTTTTTATTGGAATTCATGCAGGAAAAAGCCAGGGCTCTTGCCCTTGTGAAGAAAACGTCCTTCAAAATGTTGTTTATTGCTTATTCTCCAGGGAGCCAGTTGTCGGCCGTGTTGATTTCAGGCAAGTCAAAAGGCTGAAGCAAACACGGATGGGTCATGATTCATACCAAAGCGTGGCTGGTTTAAGCTGTTTTATATTACTTGCAAGCTGCCAGTCATTGTTCTCCGAGCTGAGTAGCCCTCCTCCGCAATCTGATCTCGCCTGGGAAAGGTTTGTGTCCGCTTCCGCCTTTGATCAAACAAATGCCAGGATGTCAACAAGAACAGCCAAAGCCTCGCAAAATCTTTCCTCTCTCCTTAGGTTCATGCTGAGAGGATGTCGATAAAAAAAGTGGCATGAACTGGTGATCTAAAGGAGTGATTATTTAATAATTTCGGGGAAACAATACTAGTTTTCATCGGCTGATACCTGGCCCTCTTTGTTAGGAGCTTTGCTGAACAGAAAGTAGTTTAATTGACCTATATCATAATGACAAATCCAACCAAACTTCTACCCAAGATCACTCAGGACTGGCAAAGACTAATACAGAAGTTTTATTGCTGATTTGACATCTCAGGATGCTTTCAGACTGCGTTTTCCTATGAGAAGATTCTCCAGCAAAGAAGAATGATTTAATCCAATCTGTGGATGACAGCACTTTAACAATTATCCCCATATCTACAACATGAAGTAGTGCTCACTTATGATGATGAGATTTGAAAATGGATTACTTCTAGCATATAGGAAGTTGGGATGGCCAGTATGTCAGGTAAAACGAACGTTATCCTGGCAAGACTCCATTTTCTTCAAAAATCTCTGTTTTCTTGCGGGGAATATCAAGGTTTCTGTTTGGAACTGGATCTGCCAATAGTGCCAGCTGAATGTCTTCAGAGTTTTACTATGCCCCAAACTGATGATGTGTCGTTATCCAGACACTGCATGGCGTTTTCAGCGCTTCAGTTTGTAGCTTCTTTCTACCTTGAACGCTCTCATGCTGCAAGCCAGGAAGTTAATACTCTGTGATGAAACCTGAAGCCTGGATGTGCACCATATGCTCTTGTGTAGCGTTTGCACCACCTTCAGCATCAAATTTCAGTCTGACAACATACATGTTTGGGACGGACAAGATGTCAGCAAATGCAGGGCTCGTACCTAATCTATTTGTTCCCAGAGCAATGTTAGCAATATTAATAGAGGTTTGCAGTGGAAAAGAAAACTGGTCATGATCACTTTGCCACGTCTTGGCCAGCAGTAGGGCATCATCTCTGGGAAGGATCTGCCTGCATTTGGAAAATTATTCCATATATAATGCTGGGTCTCAAACAGCCAAAGAGTTAATATTATATGCAAGCCCTGAGTTCTCCTACCAATCTTTCAACGTTAAGTTATCATCAAGGCAGGAAGGAGTTGACACAAGCCTTCTTTCCTTCTGCTGGCTACATTAAACGTTATTCCTCCCCTGTAATAAAATTGCTGCAGCACTGATCTATAAAATACCTTTGTCACATGCAAACAGCACCATGTTCCTTGTTCCTTAAGGCAAATTTGGCTGGCAAACTTCCTCACATGCACTTCTGGGCAGGAGCTGTCCCTGTACAGAGCGTGGTATTGCTGAGGACTCCGGTCACTGCACAGGCTCACTGT